AGTCTAAACCACACCTGGCTAACCTAGCGAGAAGATAATTAGCCCTCAATGCAACTCTAGTACGACAATTTTTATTCGAAACAAAGTCACCTGAAGAAAGGACCTGTTCCAGCTCAGAGATCTTAGGCTCGCAGACAGACAACTCAGAGGCGGCAACAGCAGGAACAGCGGCGATGGCCTTAATGCTGCCACGCCGGATAAGCCGCAAAGCAGTACGCAGTTCACTTCGCAAGCCGACAACCGTATCATCAGGATTCGCTGAAATCCCCATGGCAGACAGTTCATTAATAAGTTCATCTTTTTTAAGGTAGTTAATGCACTTACGTAAATGTGCCATGGTGGTTTACAATTTAAATTCAATTATACAAAAAAAAAAAACTTAACAAGTTTACAAACTAGTAATGCAGACTTAATGTCTTTTACAGTTCACAAAAGTAAAAAATAATGCTACTGAGTATACTTCTTCACTATTAACAGAGTGTGATAAAGTTAAAGTAAATTAATATTTTAAAAAATTACAATAAAATATTAAAATATTCAGTAATATTTTAAAAATTGAGAAACAAATTCAACTAAAAACAAAGATATTCTTGTTTCACAATTTACGACACAAGTTATATTATCTTTAGAATATTGACACAGTAATACAATGAATTGACAAAGTTTATTATTATAAAAGTTATTTCGACAAAAAAATTTAAGACACAAGTTATATTATCTTTAGAATATTGACACAGTAATCCAATGAATTGCCAAAGTTTATTATTATAAAAGTTATTTCAACATAAATTCTAAGTAGGGTATGTATACAACATAACAATTTTATTTTAATTTTAAGCCAGTAGGTTATATAAAAAATGGAGGGTACATAAAACTTTATAGGTTAAGTTAAGTTTATAAGATAATTACACCAGGAGTACTGGGATAAAAGAACACACTGAATATACACGTATGCACAACTTCACGCTACGGACCTCAAAGGTACAAACAGAAGTAGCTAACAAAAAAAGAAAAAGAATAAAAACATTAAGTTTGGCCAAAAAATGTTTCAAAATTTACCGAGATATGTGCAGTTGGAATTTTGGGTCAATTTGGAATTTAGGTGTCTCAAAGATTTTCCTTGCCTCAGGGATGATGGTACAATAGGCTGAAAATACAATGAGATTAAACTTATTACGTGCGTACTGCACTCGCACAACCAATTAACGTCCTGGGGAGTTTCGGACGGAGAGAAGTGTCTCCTCCAAAGTGAATACCCATAGGCACACTCACACAGCACACACACAGAGGTCTGGATCGATGGCCAAACGTTGGTCGCCAATTTGTAGCCGCTTTTCTTCTCAGGCGGACTACTCACCGGCTGACCCAGTGGAGAGATTTATGAGATAACCTCAGGGCGCCTTTTAAGAGAACAGAAGTGTGTGCGTGTGGGAAACCTACGGGATTCCCTTAGAGGAAAACAACTTACACCTCAGTCATACATACATGTATATTTAAAAAAAACAAAATTAAGGTTACAATAGAAAAATAAATTAATTAATCAGAGGGTACAAGAAAAACCGCAGCGGAGCGCGTCAGAGCCGAGCTGATGGTGCTCGGAGCCTCCTCGTCTTCACTCCAGGAGGTCACTTCCCCTTCCGCCCGAGTCGGCTATTTATATTAGGTATTGAGAAAAGTTCACAATTGGTATTTATAAATTTAAATAGAGGTACGTAACCCTTGGGTACGGCTGTCCGCTTGCTTCGTGAGCCGCGTGATTGCCAGCTTGCCAGAGGGTACCGAGAAACTTGAATCCGAACCAGAAGGCCACAAACTAACAAGCACGCCGTCTGAGACTGACCGTCTTGACCCCGAAATCTAGGACCCTACGAATCGATTAGCACTCATATTATTGATCAGGTTCCAGAAACAAATAGGTACAAGAACAATTAAGACCATACTCACCACTTTCGTGGGTACTTTTGAACAGATAATATATTACAAAAATCAAATCACACGACAATCAAAACACTATTTAAGATTGGTAGACACGAGATAGCAGAGTGTCTCCCGTGGCTGAAAGCCGGACTTATATATCTTCGGTTTCCGAAGCTTCCAGAAACACTCCCTACTCAACATTTAAATTATGAACGAGGTTAACACGAACAAAATCAAAAGTAACTCGCTTCCTACCATAACAAAACACTCTTAATACCTATACAATTTGTCATGATAGATTAATAAAAAGTAAGTCTTTTTATTAATCTATCATGTCTCAAACAAACGCCATCTAGTGGTACGACGGCGAACGAAGAAGATCAATACTGTAGTTATAAACTACTTTAGATAAATCAAAAAAACAATGCGACGCGGGCAACAGGTGTCGCTTTTAACAAGTCCGTACGCATTACAAATATACTAAAAAAATAACTGTTACATATTTAATTGATAAACCTTAAGGGGACTAGATAAATCGTCACGCCATAAAAATTTTAATAGCTGTCTGTCTGAAGGATGTACAGCTATCTGCCTATACATCTTCTCGACGTCTGCAGAGATTACATAAATTACATTCTACATACATTCTAAATCTGAGAAGAATAGATATTAGATCGTCTTGAACGGTGGGCTCAACCATCTGTATATTATTTAATGAAATGCCAGAAGAAGTAGGAGCACTAGCATTAAAAACTACGCGTAATTAGGTAGTAGTGCTACTCTCTCTAAGTACCCCATGGTGAGGTATAAAATATGACGGCTTCTCTTCATTAATATTACACTCTGACATATGCCCTAAAGAAATGTATGCAACCATAAAATCTTTATACATTTTGTCGAGTGAGGCGTTGTTCTTGTTTCTACGCTCGAGTGATAGAAAACAACGTTTTGCACGAACAAATGAATCTCCTAATAAATCTGCAGTTTTCTTTAATGGTATCTTAACGCAGAAACGACCGTCAGGCATACGCGAAGTATTTTTCGAAAAGTGTTCTTCGCACTGTTTTTCTTCATTGGAATAAGTAGAAGACTCGTGACAACTCTCTTCTAATTGCCAAAACCGCGTTAATTGGGTTTGAATGTCATCTACTTGAGAAGAACCTTGAGAATCTAAATGGTTGTAATTGCATTTATTATTTGAAGAAGGTTTTACCATAACGCCGCTGTTAATTGGGCCGCAAACGAACCAACCAAGCCTAGTTTGATACAAAACCGGTTTCTTACCTCCTAATATTATTTTTTCCGACCCTAATAAGTTCCAAAATACATCGGCTCCTATTATAATATCAATGGCATTCGGTGTATGAAAATACGGATCGGCTAAATTAATCTCAGCAGGTATATTTAATTCTACTCGTCTGGAGGGTACATTATCCGTTATTGAGGGTAAAACAAAACATGTCAAATTATCACTATACGATTTGCAAAGAGATTTAATGTTAACGCGACACATTTTATTTACATGAGACAAAGAATTGTTTATACCTTGTACAGACATGTTTGTTGATGCGAATGGTAAACATAATTTTTTAAACAAGCTTTCGGTCATTAAACAAGAGGAAGCCTATAGCGCGCGCGCTGCTCGACTCGGGCAGTCGAGCAGCGCGCGCGCTATAGGCTCCCTATTATTAACGTCGTAACATCTTATCAATGCAGTCGACAACAAAATATCGCTCGAAACAGACGAATGTGCACTCATGTTAGCTGACAGCGTAACATGACCATGAGTACTATGACTATTATTGAGAGCTGTGGAGGGGCTGGCAGAGGAGACGCGCGGGGGCGAGGACTCGCCGCTCATCTTATTACCTATCTATATCTTATTACTGAGTGACGTGATAATTCCATAGTTTCAAGTAAATCTGAACGATTCCTCATAAATTCAATGAAATCATTAAATGAAATAGATTTATTCTTATCTAATCGTCCTTTGTACTCTTCCCACTCTCGGAATGTTTTGGAGTCTAATTTTTGACTAATTAAATAAATTAATATTGTGTCCCAGCTCGTGACAGGCTCGCCTAAAGAACTTAAGGCTCGAATATGTTTATTTATTTTATCAATTATGCGTTTTAATGAGACTGAGGACTCCCTAGTGATGGTTTCAGGGTTAAACATCACTGACACATGATTTTGTATAAGTAAACGTTTATTGTCGAACCTCTCACGTAGAAGATCCCAAGCTAATATATAATTTTGAGCTGAAAACTCGATTGATTGTATAACTACAACGGCTGAGCCCTCTAAAAATGTACGTAAATAGTGGAACTTATTTACTTTCTCGATATCATCATTGTCGTGAATTAGACTAGAAAAGGTGTCTCGAAAATCGACCCAATTATCATAAGAACTCGAAAATTTAGGTAAGTTAATAGTGGGTAATTTGACGAGCTGACGTTTAGAATGACCACTATTCTGATTAGATTCATTTTGATCAGATTGTGTGTGTGGTTGAACGGCGTTTATTAATTCTTTGGCTTTTGCTAGTAAAGAATAATATTATAATTCAATAGCTGTGCGTTCGGCTATTTCATCGTCGATGTCCTCACACACACACTCAAGCTGTAACTGTATATCATTAAATTCATCGTAAAGAAGTTCTAACTTATTTATGCGCAATTGTAACTCCGTTACCTGACAGGATGTTAATTTAGAATCCGTTAAAAGAGATAAATGATTTCCAAAGACGGTCAACCTCCCCTTATAACTGCTACGTTTCCTTTTAAGTTGGTTAACATCAGCCATTCTGGGAGACGAGTAGGTACTGTCTATCTGAGCCTCAATTCTGCTATTACGCCAAGCCCGTGTCATACCACACGCTATTGAGATGCCATCGAGTGGCCATTGGCATCGGTATAAATATCAGTAGTTGAAAATATATTACGTTTATTGAGGAAATGATTTATTTGTTTTTAACACGTTAACTGCCATGGTGGGTCAAAATGACCGGCACGTCATCTACCCATTGGAGCCGTGGGGGGTCAAAATGACCGGCACGGCAGACCCTAGTTTGCGAAGCCCGTTCACGCCGCAGATTGAAAACGCTGCGTATTAAACAATATAATATGACCGGCGCGGCCCCAATGAACACCTGTAACAACTTGGTTTTTTGATTTTTTTATGGTATACCCACTTTTTGGACTTGGACAAAAAAATAAAAATAAACACACAGGATTTCGAATTAAACATTTTTATTTTGTTTCCAAGTTGAATTAAAGCAAGCAAAAAGAATGATAATAAAAAAATGTGTTAGATGTGAAAAAAGGTTTTCTAACGTAAATCAAAATAGGTATCGAAACATTTTAGTGGCATTTGTCAAAACATTGTCGACATAAATGTGGATGTCCGGGACAAATAGTGCAAAACCAAGAAACCTTTTTTGTTTTGTTTTTGGCCGCATTTCTTCCATACAACTGAACATTTGTTTTATAACAATCGCGACAAAATTTTCTTGTTGACACTGCTGCACCTTCTTTCTTCTTCAGCTCATGTTTTTGTCTTCTGACTCGTGGTGTGGACGATTCCGTATTTTCTCGACAGCCCTGAATCAACTGCTTTGCTAACAGTCGCCTAAAATCAACAACAGAGACTTTCTTGTTCGTTGTACTCTGATATAGTACTCTCGCATTTACTACTGCAGTATTGAGTAACAATTCGAAACCGAGTTTCTTGTACCACTTTAGTGTCTTTCTCAGAGGACTCGAATAAGCACTCATTTGGTCAGACAAGTCAACGGCTGCCTTGGCTTTATTATAATCGATCACGATTTTTGGCTTAACTGTTTCAATCCCTCTTTTGTTCCTTTTTTTCGTGAATCCGATAGAATGTTTTGTTGACAACAAACACACATCCCTCTTGTCCTTCCACTTCATAATGGTGATGCCATTTTCGTTTTCTTTTGCAGAAAATTCACCCGGTTTCAGATTCATAGTCATGACGTCCTTTGGTAAATTCTTCCTGTTTTTGCGTAAGGTTCCTACTAAATGAGTATCTTTTTTAATTAATTTTTCAGCTAAATCTAAGCTTGTATACCAGTTATCCACGAACATGGTATGGCCCTTACCAAAGTAGTTACGTGCCAAGTTCAAGACAACGTTGGTTGGTGTATTATGCTGTGAATCTAATGTCTTTCCTCCATATACCTCCACTTTTGTCGTATAACCAGGAGTAGTACACAACTTAAATAACTTGATGCCGTATTTGTGTCTTTTTGACTTATTATATTGGCCAAAAATTATATGCCCACGAAATGGTATCATGCTTTCATCAACACATAAACATTCATCAGGAGTAAAATGATGACCAAACGTATGATTCAAAATATCCACTAATCTTCGTATTTTACCCAGGCGGTCAGTTTTTGGTACCTCTTCATTGTTGGAGAAGTGGATCATTCTAAGTAAAAGTTCAAAACGGTTGCGACTCATAGTCTTTTTTGCAAAAGATTGACCCAACATCTCATCATTGGACCAGTAATCTACGATTTTTGGTAACTTCACTATTCCCATCCAAATAATCACACCTAAAAATCGTTTGATTTCTTCCTTGTCGGTTGGCGTCCACAATCGCAATCTCGACTTATCTTTGGTGACACCTTTATCGATATTTTGTTGGGCAAATATATTCGTCTGATGTGCTATATCTTCAAATAGATGGTCAGTGACTAAGAGGGAATAGAAATCAGCAGGTGTACCATTTGCTAGTTGATTCCGTAGTGAGTAAGGTTTCAGTCCAGGTATTTCAGTAAAAGGAATTAAACGTGGCTGCTTACCACGTGGTTGGTACCACTCAGTTGTAGGTGTATGGCCCGATAAACCTGGAGATGAACCACGCTCATCTTCCTCGTCGTCCGACAAAACAATTCGACGTTTTCTCGCACGCGGAATATTTAACACTTCATCACCCTCACTTATTTCACTGCAATTCGACCTCTCTAAATTGTCTATTACAAGTAATTGTTCTTGTGTAAACTCGAAATCAAAAAAAGCGTCCATTTTGACAATAAAACAATATTTTTCTGTCTGTAATAACATAATAATAATGACGTTAACACGCCATAGTACGGCCACTGGCGTAAACAGATCCGTATTGGCCAACACGGGAAGAGGTGAAAGGGGTGAAGGGTAGCGGGAACGACAACCGCGCGCGTGGTGTACTCCCGCGCTGTGCAATTGTGCATTCATTATGGCACGCGGTGCCATGCCGGACGTAACAGACGTATGTCAGTTCTAGAGAAACATCGATAGAACATTACGCGTACGTAATTACGCTGACCGGCATTTTGAAATAATTAATAAATTGTTAAAAGAAATAAATAAATTAAAATAACTTACTAAAAAATTAAAATTAAAAAAAAAAGAAATAAATAAATAAAAATAATTTATTAAAGAATAAAATATAAAAATTATAAAAAAAAGAAATAAATAAATTATTAAAATAAATAAATAAATTAAAAAAAAGATAAATAATATTTATTAAAATAAAAAAATATTAAAATTAATAAGTCATTTCCTTATAATTTGAAAATATATTACGTTTTTTGAGGAAATGATTTTTTATTTATTTTTATTATAGTAAATTATTAAAAAAAAAAGAAAAAAAAAGAAAAACAAATTATGAAATAAATAAATTAAAATTAAAAACAATTTAAATAAACAAATCATTTCCTTATATTTTGAAAATATATTTATTTTAATATTATTTTTATTTTTTTATGTTAATAATTTATTTATTTCTTTTTTTTATAATTTTTATATTTTAATTTTTCATAACTTATTTTAATTTATTTATTTATTATAATAAAAATAAATAAATCATTTCCTCAAAAAACGTAATACATTTTCAAATAATAAGGAAATTATTTATTAATTTTAAATATTTTTTTTTATTTTTGTTTTTATTTTAATAATTTATTTATTATTATTTTTTTTAATTTTATTTTTTAAATAATTTATTTTTATTTATTTATTTCTTGTAATAATTTATTATAATAAAAATAAAAAAAAACATTTCATCAAAAAACATAATATATTTTCGACGGGTCCTACGCAGACTAATGCAAGTGCAAAAACGCAACTTTACAGGAGAACGTTTTAAAGGTTCAAACGGTTGTAACTCTAACATAGTTCAACATTTTTTTTTGAAATTTGGAAATGTTATATATGAACATGTTTAAAAAAAGACTGCATACTTATTTTTTTATATTTTTTTGTAGTTTAGAAATTAGCTTCACTTGCATTTACCTATATGGTTTTCCTTAAAGTGTTATAACGCGAAAACCAGTGTAAGTGACCACTTGTACCAGTTTACAGTGTGTTAGGTTTTTCGAAAATTAAGGAAAATAGAAAAATATTACAATATTTAACATGTTTTATTTTTGTGAATATTGGTGAGCTACTGAAGCTTATTATATTTAAGATATTTTTGAACAACTTTTGTCACTTGCACCAATTTACAAAGTAGTGCAATTTACATGTGCCAGTTACACCTGTAGTGCTCTAGTAAAATATTAAACTAAATTTGCGGTTAAATAAAACAAATGTATTAAATAATCAAATACAACAATTTATTCTAAATTAAAATAAAATTCAATGGCTTTTCCACCAAAAAAAAAACAAATATCTTCTAACTCTCACGTAAGGTAATTATTTAGTCACAGTAGTTAAAAAATAACAACAAATTATATTTAACGCTTATTATCAAATTTTTTTTTTTCATAATAATAAAAATCTAAAAAATAAAGTATTTCTTTACATACGAGCGCACATTGTCTGTATTATTAGTAATTACTAGTTTAATACTTATTCATTGAATACTTCAGTCTTTCAGACTTATCAGAATAAAATATCTTATCTAATGGTAGCTAAATTAAGTATCACATTCGAAATTAAAGAGTAAGGATTGCACAATTAAATAAAATGATTCACTCAGATATATCTCCAGTAGTATTCTTTGAGATAACTTTCAAATTATTGTAATATGAATGATATTGTTCAGGAATCACGTTGGATTTGCAAAGATCTTGTAGATCTTTGAACTTGTTTTTATCTATAGGTAATAAGCTACTGTACGCTACACTTAAGCCATCAAATTTTTTCGTCAAGTTTTGTATACTGGTTCGTGTGTTACTTCTCAGACATTGTATAGTTTTGTAGGCGCTTTCTTCAAAAGCATTTTTATAATTAATCAAGAATAAATCTTTGGCTTGAACATTGACTTCGCAAATTTTACTCCACATGACAAGTTCCCCGGTGGATTTTTTTTTCCAATTATCAAAAAAGGCAAGGCAAGATTGAAAATCAAAGACGTGAGATTGAGTAATTTCTTTTACAATGTATGGTTTTGCATTAGCCGTTGCCATTTTGAAAGCCAAAGTCCATTGATCTGGAGTATAAATCAAAACATTTCTAGTTTTTCTTTCAATCAGAGAGTGAATGCTGTCACCCTCGTTTTGGGTGTGACCAACAACAAGAAATCTATGAGTAATATCCACGTTAAATTTCCAAGAGCAGTACATATACATAAGAAAAATAATTCTGTTTCTATTCTGTCCTCCACAATTGTCCGACCAGAATATAAAGAATTTAACTCCTTCCTTTACCTTCATACAAATAAAATCATAAACACAGCTGGCTATTTCATTTGCTCCTTTTTTGCAGTCTGTTCATCCCAACAATAACAATATCCTTGCAAATCAGCCATGTCAAATGGAGTAAAGTTGTGAAAATGCAATTTTCTTTTGTAGTAAAAAGTACTAACGTTTCCATGTGGTAAGTTTTGTGTTTTTTGCAAGTCAAAAGTAACAGCCACTAGAGTTTTATCGTCTTTTGATAATTGTTTATCCATTTCTTTCAACTGCCGAGCTTTATCTTTTTCGGCCAGATGCCAATCGTGTTTTGATTTTTGTTCATCTGTAGGATTTTGTAAGTTTTCAAATGCGTGACAAAACTCGCATTTATCCTTTTTCGGTATATGAAATGAGAGGTTGAAGTTTTTATTAACAATGTCTCTATATTGTCGCAACGTTTCAACCCTGCAATTTTGGGGAATCTCTTCTTTATCACACCATTCTTTGTAAAAATTAAACATCCGGAAAAAACTCAATGAACCGTCTAGGTAAATTTTACTCGTTTCCTTTCTCGTATAGTGAGACTCTACGGGTTGGAACATATTTACATGAGAACACACACTTTTTTTGGCAGTTTGAGGTATCTTTACTGGGTGGTTTGTATGTTTTCCCCTACGATCTTCTGCTACTACCCCAAAACCTTGATCGAATTTGTCTAATGCCGTTTTTACAAAATTATAACTTATAGACAATGTGTTCAAGAACATAGTCTTACAGACATAAACTATTTCGATGTTCCTACTGCCTTCTGATACCGGAATTGAATACCGCAGAGTGCATTTTCTTTGGGAATTTTCAGTAACTACCCTCTTCTTTTCTAGCTTCGAAACATATTTCGTAATAAAATCCCACTGTCGAGTATGATCGCCTAGCTCCCAGAATTTTTTAAATGTCTCATATCTTGCAGTCTCTTCTATTTTTTCAGAACATTTTCTTGGGCATTTGCAAGCAGCTTTCATTTCTTTTTTTTCATGTGTTTTTCCAGTCCGACTCATATATTCTAAGCCTCTGTTCAAATTGTACTTTCGTTTATTATCTAACCACTTGTTTTGGAATCTCTCTCGCAATCTGCCTGTGTCTTTCTTTTTTTGGCATTTCCTCTTTATGTTTGCTGGACTACTTAACGGTGTATCAGTGTAATCGGAATCGATGTGTGAAAAAGTATCAATCTCACGTTCAGTTTGTGGACAGGTTGATGAAAAAGAAACTGATGGTGAAGGCATTAGTGTTATGCTCTCAATTTCATCTTGACAAAAGTTATTCGGTTTAGAAACAATTAACTCAGAAATAGGCGCAAGTTCGCAAGGCTCTCTTTCTTGTACATTATGCACAATCGCAGTTACTGTCTGGACGTTAGAACAGCTAGTACAACTATCAAAATCTGATAAATTTGATAAATTTCTATACAAATTTTCCACCGATGGCGTTACATCGAATATGTCATCTGGATCGCTGAAGTCGATAACTTGATTGATGAATGACATCTCTTCAGCTACCAATGATGCACTTGGAGGTAGAGGGGAGTCTAAAAGAAAATATTAAAAATGTACTTAATTGCGAATAAAATGTACCTGCTCGTTATTATAAGTAAATTATATGTTTTTATTTAATCCCATTTACAGTATGAGTAACCGAATTAGTAGTTTAAAAACTATTTACGTAATTACGTATGTTACAATAGCGGGAAATTAAATAGATAGACGAATCGACGTATACTGATATAAGTGTAAAGTTGGTCGAAATAGGATACAAAAATTAAAAACAAAAATATTTCACCTATATAAAAATAATCATTACCTGGCTTGGCTGTTAAATTTTCAGTCGAAAAATTTAATTTATCGTTTATATCGGTTGGTACCTTAGCTCGAGACATATTCAAATTTAAATCTAATTCTTTACATGGACTTCGTTTTAGAACTGAAGACGATTCTAAAATATAAATAGAATAATATTAAAACATAATTTGAAGAATGTAATTAAAAAATAACAATAATAATAACAGAATTTCACTTAAACCTCTATACACGGGTATAATCAACAATAATACGAACATTGTCTACTGGTTTAAGTGAAAATATACCAAAAATGTACATAATTTGATTTAAAAAATTATTATGATCAATTAAATAAAAGTAAAAGATAGAATTACAGTACTCAAAATGTAAAATTGATTCTTACCGTCGTAACTTTCGTGTGTGTTTGATTTGCTGCGTTTATGTTCTAATAAATGTATCATTAATTGACCCCGTGACCGCTTCATGCTTGTATGTTACTGTCACTTTTATCAAATAGAAACAAAGACTAGAACATTTTTACCCATTAAACACATAAACAAAAACTTTTTGCAGTTGTACTAGTCTCGCACGTGCACCCGGTAACGTCGCCGCGCGCGTTCTGGTGCAAAGGTCACTTGTACTCGCGCGCCGCGCGGCTTGCGACTGCCTACACTGGTGCAAAGCACTTACACCAGCGTTGACAGTCGTTTGGCTTAAAACAGCGTCACTTGCACCAGGATACAAGTTTGTATCTTCGAAATTAATTGATATTTATTTTTTTTTGTTTCAGGATATGAAA